AGAGGATAGGAGTAAGCTTGTTAGTAGTAGAAATGTGACCTGTTTCATGGCGAGAAAGTTTGTGTACATGACGTAAACCAACAACTATACCAATGAATTGTGCGATGCTACTTTTTAATGAATTGATATATTTCTCGTTTCTCCTCTTTTCCAACCTTTCCAATCAATATCACATCCATTCCTAAAGCTGTTTTTTGATATTCAATATGAGACGGAAAATCATTTTTGGTATCTACAAACGAGATAGAATTAGCTTCATATCTATCAAGTGGAAAGATGGCGGTTTTTGAAGGTAACACCGCTATATAGGTAATTGTGTTACTGCGAAACTCAATAGTGAGATCCTCGGAAAATTGCGTTTCTCCGTTCAGAATAATTCTAGATTTCCCACTGAGGGTTGAATCATTAAGAACCGTCCAGTTTTCAAGCATGCTGTACTCTGGTTGTGTTGAGTGCCAATCGCCAACTAACCAATTCAGAGAGCCTAAACTTTGAGCTAGAACCGCTCCAGACGTAGAAAGCGAAATCAAGAATGAAAGAAGAATTCGATTCATTAAGAGTTAACGAAAACGAAGTAAAACCCTGAGAGTATTATTGCTAGAATAACAAGCTTGAAAAAATTCTTTTCTATAAATGAACCTTCTCTTGGTTTATAGGCAGAGTAGGTGCCGCTAGTCCGCTTTTTTGCGTTATACGCCACCTTTCGCTTAACTCTTTCTACCTGTTTAGATTCTTTCCCAACACCCGTTAAATATTCGCTATACGAACCATAAGTTCTTAGAAAATCTTGACCAGTATCGGTAAGCCGATAACACTTAAATCCTTTAGAATCCCTGGTGACTTTAACCACCAAACTTTTAGCTTCTAAAATTTCTTCTATAGGTTGAATTGAGTCTTTTTCAACAGGTAAATCATTTTTAAGGTACACCCGTCTCACGCTAATTGATGGTTGGTCAGTTTTCACCAATTCTTCGAGAACCAAATCGACAATGTTTGCGTGTTCCACGGCACTAATGTACTAATGTGGAATTGTTTACCAAGAGACAAATAAAATAACAATCTAACTACTTGTTAGGCGCGTTTAGACCAACATATAATTGCCAAATTCAGTTATTCAGCGCCAAAAGCTATTAATCCTTGAACTCCGGCTTTTGCTTGCTCATAGCGGACATAAATGCCTGTGTTAAATCGTCAGATAAAAGCATGGCAGAGTTCCATACCGCCATATGATGTAAGCCATCTTCAACCGAATGATCTCTAGTGTGCCGTAGAATTTCCTTCGTTCCACGGATAGAAACAGGGGATTTTGAAGCAATTGTTCCTGCTATCTTATTAACCACTGTCATCATTTCTTCTTTATCAGCATAATGATTGTTTACCAAACCTATTTCTTTTGCTTCGGTAGCGGCAACTTTTCTCCCGGTAAAGGCCATTTCAGCTACCATTGCTGGCTTCACAAACTTTGGCAGGCGTTGTAGAGTACCAAGATCTGCCACCATTCCCATGTCTATTTCTTTTATGGTGAAGTAGGCATCGTCAGAACAGTATCTTAAATCGCAAGCAGCAACGATATCTACTCCACCACCTATGCATCCATTATGTATGGCCGCAATTACCGGTTTAGAACAATTTTCAATAGCATTAATGCATCCTTGTAAATGTTTGATAAAGCTTAGAATTTTCTCACTTCTTCGCCCTCCGCATTCAATCTCTTCAACGCTCTTTACAGACATTAACATTTGCAGATCAATTCCTGCACAGAAGAGTTTACCTTCTCCAGAAAACACAGCAACTCTTGCTTCAGGTTCATCACTTATCCTTTCAAAAATTGCTTTCAGCTCTTTCCAAGAAGTTTCATTTAAAGAATTGACTTTGTCTGGTCTGTTAATGGCTACATGAGCCACTTTGTTTTCAACTTTATACGTGAAATGTTCGTAGCTCATTGATTCTTAATTCAGGTATTCTGGGTTAAGGTTTAAGGTCAATCTATTATCGCTAAGAAGTCGCTTTGTAAGGGCAATAGATTTTGGTAATTCATACTCGAAATAGTATTCAAAGGCAGCTTGTTTTCCTTTGTAAAAATTGAGTTCATCACCAGTAGGGTTTTCTGCAAGTTTGGCTTCAACCACCATTCCTTGCTTAAGCCATTGCCAAGCAACAGCTAGTATCCCAGCATTTTCTAAGTAAAGTGTAGCATCTGCTAGAAATACTTCTGGTGCTTCCTTCTGTGCTAAATCCATAAGCTTCATAGTTACTTCTTGGAACTTTTGCGCAGAACCGCCCAACTTGGTAGCGTAAGGCTTCAACGATTCAACTGCCATTCCTGCCATGATAGTCTCTTGCAGTTCAGCACCAAACGCCATTACAGCAGCCCCCATTTTCATGGTTACTTTTCTTCCCAATAAGTCCATAGCTTGGATGCCAGTAGTTCCTTCATAAATTGGATTAATTCGAGTGTCTCTGTAATACTGCTGTAGTGGGAAATCAGAACAGAATCCTGCTCCACCTAAAACCTGCATGCCTTGGCTTGTACTCTGAACGCTAATCTCCGATGGATATGCTTTCGCCATTGGCGTAAGTAAATCGAGAAGCAATTTGTACTTCTTAGCTTCTTCGCCTTCTGAAACTTTGGCAAGGTCTGCATACATAGCACACTGACAAACAAGCGCCAAGCTACCTTCCATGGTAGATTTTTGGAACAACAACATGCGTTTTACATCAGCATAGTTGATGATGTTTTCCATTGGAGTTGAAGGGTCCTGATTTGAAACAGTTCTTCCTTGTGGGCGTTCGTTTGCGTATTCCAGAGCTGCATAGTATGCCGCAGAGGAAAGTGCAGAAGACATCATACCAACACTGATTCTGGCACCATTCATCATTTGAAACATATAACGTAAACCATTGTGCGGCTCGCCAACCAACCAGCCTTTGCAGTTGTCATTGTCTCCCATCACTAAATGCATTACAGGGCAACCTTTCATTCCCATTTTTGCTTCAAAACCTGCCGTAAAAACATCGTTGTAAACCAATTCTCCGTTTTCGGGTCTGTGCTTTGGAACAACAAAAAGAGAGATTCCTTTTGACCCAGCCGGACCACCGTCAATCTTGGCCAACATTAGATGAACCACATTCTCAACAGCATCGTGATCACCAGCAGAAATGAATATTTTTTGGCCCTTAATCTTATAAGAACCATCTGCTGTTTCAGTTGCAGTAGAGTAGATGTCGCCTAACGAACTTCCTGCATGTGGTTCGGTAAGTGCCATTGTTCCTTGCCACTGGCCAGCAAACATTTTGGTCATGTAAGTTTCTTGCAACTCCTTAGAGCCGAAAGCAGAAATTAACTCGGCAGAACCCATTGTTAGTCCGAAATATGATGCTGCCGATGTATTTGCAGAATGGAAAATGAAATTGGCAGCATTGTAAACGGTAGCTGGCATTTGCTGTCCTCCATGATGGAAGTCTTCTTGTGCCACAATCCAACCAGATTCTCCAACTTCCTTCATGATTTTCTTCATGTCTGGATGAACATGAACAACGCCATCTCCCTTAGTTGGTTTCTTCTCATCCATCTCAGTGTAAATAGGGAAGAGGAGATTGTCAGATATCTGCTTTGCAGTGTCAAGCATCATATCAAACATTTCCTTGGTGTGTTCACTGTAACGCTCGTATTGCGTTAGCTGTTCAACATTTAAAACTTCGTGAAGTTGAAAGCGCAAATTGCGCATACTCATGTATTCTTTTGCCATAATTTGGGTTGATTTATAGGGGGAAACAAAACTATTAGAATTACTGATTTCTACTAGACAACTTTGAATGATAATTCTCATTCTATAGGATGCGCAATGTGGATAACGCTCAAAAAAATGTAGCTTTCGACTGAAAGACCAATTTCAACCAGCGTGTCCAGTAAAACCTTATTTCGAGTTATTCTCCTTTTGGCCATTTCTCTTGGGTTAATGGCTATTGGCAGGTATTCGTCTTTTAGCGAATATTTTACACTTGGATATCTCACAGAAGCAATTGTTAAATCTGGAGGATTTGGAGTTGTTGTCTTTATAGCCGCATACGTTGCAGGAACGCTAATGAACATCCCAGGCGTTTTATTCCTGCTAATTCTGTTTATGGTTTATGATCCTACTGAGGCGTTCATTTTAGGATACTTAAGTACACTTGTTGCAATGGTTGTTCATTTCTTATTTACTCGTGCGGTTGCTGGAGGGGCGCTAACAGAAATCAAACAACCAATCATAAAAAAACAGCTTCAGAAACTGACTTCTAGGCCCATAATTACCACGATTGTTTTAAGACTAATTTTCTTCATTTCTCCTCCGGTTAATTATGCATTGGCTATGTCTTCACTCAAATTCAGGCATTTTTTACTTGGCTCAATGATACCTATGCCGGTTAATCTCATACTCAATTACGCACTTTACATTTTTGCCAAAGACTGGTTGATAAACCGTTTTTTGTAGCGAAACAGAGACAATCAAGAACTATGAGTAGCGCGTTTGACAAGAATCTTCTTCCAGAATTTGAAAGCATCAAAGATTCGGATGAGGAAATACTTTGGATTGACACCCCCGTTTTTTTACCCTATTTATTTAGCGGTGCAGGTAAATCGCTTTACCTCATTGCCTTCGGTATAGTTTGGTTCGTTTTGGCTACGCAATTCGGAAAAAAAGCCGAAGAGAATTCAACCATTTTTCTGGTTTTAGGAATCATCCCTTTGCTACAAGGGCTTTATGCTTTTGCTGTTAAATTATTGTCCTATTCAAATACTGCTTATGGTTATTCCAATAAACGAGTAATGATGCGTACGGGATTTATAGGAACAGATTTCAAAACAATTGATTACGATAAAATATCGGATATAGAAGTGAACGTAAACGTGATTGAGCGCGTGTTTAATGTAGGAACCGTGCGTTTCTTCAGTGGTAGAACTAAATCTGAAGAAGATTCTATTTCCAAGTTATACGATAGCTGGATTTCTATTAATAACCCGTACGAAATCTTTAAAATGGTAAAGCAAACATCGGTAGATATTAAAACAGATTTCAACTACCCGAATGCCCTAAGGCCAGAATCTAACCCAGGGTACAAAACCAAATACGATCGGAAAGAATAAGCTTGGTTTCCTACGATATGGTAGCCCAGCCCTTAGCTTCTTCAAGCTCGTAGGCTAATTCAATTAATCGCTGGTCTTCTCCATACGGAGCAGCAAACTGAACACCTAATGGCATTCCGCTAGAATCTTGGCCCATTGGTAATGAAATGGCTGGTTCTCCCGTTATGTTGTACAGTCCGGTATATGTGGCGAATTCTACTGCGTTTTTACAAACATCATCATAACTAAGTTCTGGAGAAAAATGCCCAACTTTTGGTGTTCGGTGTGCTAAAACTGGTGTCATTACAATGTCGTATTGCTTGAAAAGTGCACTGCATTTTGCTCCCATTATACGCATTGCTTTAATGCTTTTAGGGAGCTTGAATTTATTGGCCTTAAACCGTTCAGCTAATCCCAATGTAAAGGGTTCTAATTGCGACTTATCCACCTTGGCTTGAAACACCATTTTCCCCCAATGGCTAGACATATAAGCCAAAAAACCGTAGTAGTTGAGAAAGTCGCCAATCATAGAATCAGCATCTATCGGTAATGGAACAAGCTCAACCTTGTGGCCAAGACTTTCTAAAATTTTAGCAGTTTCTAATTGTAGGCTCCAGGTCTCTTCACCTTGTCTTCCCATTGTGCCTTCAGCTCGGTTTTCAAGCATGGCAATTTTTAAGCGTTTCTTATTTGCATGCTTAATGTGGCCAAGTGTGGGTAAACGCTTGTTGTGGTTATACTTCTCTGCTTCGGCAAAGAAAAGGGCAGTATCTCTAACCGACCTGGTTAATACGCCTTGATGAACAATACCTATTGGCATTAGTTCAGCACCATCCATGCCGTAAATTCTGTTTCGTGTGGGTTTTAAGCCAACCAAACCACAAATAGCCGCTGGTATTCGAATAGAGCCTGCACCATCGTTACCAGATGCAATTGGCACAGCACCACTAGCTACTAATGCGGCAGAGCCAGAAGATGACCCTCCAGCAGTATGCTCTGTATTCCAAGGGTTTCTAGTCACGTTCCATTTAGAATTCTCCGTACTGCACAGCAAACCAAACTCTGGCAAGGTGGTTTTTCCCAAACAGTTAACCCCAGTGCTTAAAAACTGGTTTACAAACTTGCTATTGCTTTTAGCCTTTTTAGAAGTGTACGCACCCGTGCCCATTTGAGTAGGATGACCCTTTACGTTATCTGTGTCTTTAATGAACGTAGGAACGCCATAAAACGCACCTTCGGCATTTAGTTTGTCATTCTTTCTAGCATCATCATAGGCCCTTACTTTAATAGCATCGAGATTAGGATTTACCTTTTCTGCACGTTGAATAGCGGCCTCAACAGCTTCCTGAACACTTATTTTCTTTTGAGCAATGGCTTCTGCAACGCCAGTTGCATCTAAATTCCCTAGTGCATCATCGGTAAAGGCGTTTATTCTATTGGTCATGGTTCTGAAATTAACTATTGAGCATTAGCTAGGAAAAGAGAAAAATGAGTTGTCCGAGTCCGGCTAAGCCACCAAGTACGGCTCCAACTAAAATTAAAATCCATTCGTCTTCTTGGAAAGCTGGACGTAATACACCTTCAAACTCATCAGGAGAAAGACCAGCCATTTTTTCTCTCATAGTGGTTTCTAAATCCAACGCGTCTTCAGCGTAATCGAATGTTCGATGGATAGAATGGGGGAGGCTTTCAACAAAACGTTCTGCCGCCATATTCTTTAACTCATCATACTTCTTGGTTCCAGCAAAGATTTGATAGATGTTTCTTGAGAGGCCAATTTGGTCATCTATTGCTCGCTTAACATGCCCTTGCAGAATAGTGACCATTTTATCAGACGCTTTTCCGCGGAAAATGCGCTCAAACATTCTTTCTACAGTCAAGATTTTAGTCGAAACGATTTTAGCGTATTCCGTAGCTACTTCGCGTTGGCGTTTAATAAATAAACCATGGATTTTAATACCCAAGAAGTTGACTTCCTTTTTGGGATTGAAAATCATCTTAAGCGCAAGCCAGTTTGTGGCCCAGCCAACTACAAGGCCACCAAGGGGTAATAGCCACCAAGAATCGTTGAAGAACCAAACAATGGCTTGAATAATTCCGAAAAGAAAGCCGAAGTAAAGCCCAGACGTCTTAATAAACTTGAATTCTTCTGCTCCGCATTTAAGGAAGATTTCGTTGGTAAGTGTTTTATCCGCAGTTAAGTGCTCAACTACAAGCCCCTTTAAATCCAGGAACTCTTCAATGTTTTCTTTTACATCCAACATCATTTCTTCAGCCACTTCTGGCATTTGAGAAACAGCTTGTTTATAGATGGTTTCTTTAACAAGATTAGGAGTAGCAAGCCACATTAATTTCGCTTCCTGATTCATGACTTCATCAATCATCTGACGCGCCATTTTATCCAAAACAGGTTGCAGGTCTTTTGCTACTCGTTTAGCTTCAATTTTTTCAAATAGGGCCTGAACATCAATAAGCTTTGAAGTCATTAAATCGACCGACTTCTCTGCCATTTTACCCGCTTTTGAAGGCACAATTCCTTGCCACCCTAAAAACGGTTTTATTCCAACAAATTCTACAGGGTAGAACGTCATGTGTATGGCCAACCAGTTGGTGCCCCAACCAACAATGCCGCTAACTACTGGAATAGCAAAATAGGGTAGTAGGTAAGCGTATGTCTCTAAGAATTCGATGGTAGGCTACAGCTGTTTGTGAAACGGCTTGAAAGATAAGTTTATTCAGGGTTTAATAAAGGCTGAATATTCTTTGGATTGTTCCATCACATAGTCTTCATGTTACAGCATTTAATGCCTGTGTTACGCAACACAACCTTCATGTGCGCAATTTTTTAAGATTAAAAGACGAAACTAAATGGACTTTCCGGTCTACTCCTCGCTGCGGTACGGGTAACCGTTGCATTTGTGAAGCACTCTCGAGTTCCTATGAACAACTTTAAACAAGGCGCTGAAATCTCACGCATGCCCGCGAAATAAACGTCATTTCAGGCGTAACGCAGTGGAGGGCAGCAACCGACCCAATGAAGCTCATTGCCGAGGACGATAACCTCGCTTTCAATTAAAGGCAACCACCTCAATTATCGGTGCGTCTTCCGAGCCAAACCAAATGACAAACCTCTAAATGTTACGACTTTCTGTATTATGCCTGCTGATGTTTTCTTGGTTGTCAACGTTGGGTCAACTGATAGATTACCCAACAGGAAATGAGGGTTTGATTCGGGAAAGCAATAAGCCTGTCATCGATTTGGTTGGCTCTGGTTCGACCATTTATGTGCCGTTAAAGTTTCATTTGATTGTAGACGGCAATTCGTGGTTCAATGACACAACTTATACCGATTCCGTGCTGGCAACCGTAAATGAGCGGTTCTTGGGAGCGGACATTGAATTCTACGAATGTGGGGGCGCGAATATCATTCAGGATGCTGGGCTTGCCAATGGTTTGGATCCAGCATCCATTATGTTTAATCTACATGCTACACATGGGTTGCCCAACTTAATAAACGTATACATCCCCAATTCTACCACATCGTTCAATGGGTATTCCTATTCAGGGCCAATTGGTGCTACAGATTACAATGTTCAGTTTAATGGGTTGGTATTTAGCGGAAGCGAGTATTTAGCTAATGACGAGGTTCTGCCGGCTCACGAATTAGGGCATTACTTTGGGTTGTACCATACGGTATCAAATTCGACCAATTTGGAGTTGGCCAATGGATCAAATTGCGATAATGCAGGTGATTATTGTTGCGATACACCAGCCGAATATTCTGGAATGTGTTGTGCTGTGGTACCCGAATGTGTTTACAACCCTTTATTTGGAATTGTGACCGATAGCAATGGAGATACCCTAACAGCTGACGTAACCAATATTATGTCGGTTATGCAGTACAATGTAAACTGCCGCGATGTTTTCACGCAGGATCAATTAAATCGGGTCAATTACTATCAGTCAACATATTTGTCTCATTTAGATTGTGGAGGCTTGCCAACCGATATTCCGCATTTCATCCCTTCTAGCAGAATAGCAATTGGACGCTTCGATGTGTTGGGACGTCCGGTTGAAAAGAATTATCGTGGCATCCAACTCATCAAATACGATGATGGATCGGTTAAACTGAAGTTGAACCTGCTTTGGTAGGATTGGCCGGAATTGAATTGAATTTTTTGTTCGTACCAGCCCTATTTGGGTCACTGAGCTCACCGAAGTTAAATGCGCACCAGCGGGGGAGGCTTTCCGCATACTCCTCGCTGCGCTGCGGGGTAACCGCTGTCAACTGCTTAGCAATTATGAAACGTAAGTTCAGCTTAGCTAAATTCAAATGGAAATCAATTGTGGTGTTTAATAATCCCCAATGTCTAGTGTGGTTTGAGCGTCATTTATTAGTTCCAATTCTATGTGTCGACTGTAGCCAGTAGTAACCATCAAATATTTTGAGATTTTTCTTTTGTGCTTAATTCGCATTGTTGTTTACTATTGAAAAGGATTGCTTCACTATCATTGCAACAAATTTTCCAGACTTGTTTTAAACTTAATGAAGGGTTAATCATGCAAATCAAACAAACGCGACCAGTAAACATCGAATTATTAAGGTTCGATAGTGAAAACCCACGTATTCCATCAAGTGTTGATGGTTCTGATTCAGATGCTGTAATTAATTGGATGCTAAAGTCCGCAAACCTCGTGGAGTTGATGGGGTCAATTGCAGAGAAAGGATTTTTCCCCGCTGAGCCATTACTGGTGGTTCCTGGACAGGACAATGGCACCTTCGCTGTGGTTGAAGGTAACAGAAGGTATGCTGCTTTATATGTTCTAAATGGTCTTGCCTCCAATATCAATGTGAAAACAAGCATGGTTCAGGAGTTGATTAACCTTTCTAATGAGAATGGACATGATTTGGAGAATATCCCGGTTCTTCAATACGAGGAGAAATCGGAGATTGAAGAATATCTAGGTTATCGACATATAACAGGTGTCAAGGCTTGGAGTCCAATGGCGAAAGCAAGGTATCTCAAGATGCTTCAAACTTCTGTTGCTGGTGAATCAATAGAAGAACAGTATAAAAGTCTTGCAAGAACTATAGGTAGCAAGTCCAATCATGTTCGACTACTACTTGTAGGATTAGAGGTAGCAGAAAAAATCAAAGACCAACAATACTATCAAGTACAAAATCTAGATGATACCAATTTGGATTTTGGAGTTTTATACACGGCTCTAGCCAAGGATAATATTTCCAGTTACGTTGGAGTACGGCTACTGGCAGATAATCCATTGGAAGACGTTGATGTTGAGAAGCTAGGTGAGTTGACCAAATGGATGTTTGAAAAAGACAATCAGAGAAACACGCGACTTGGAGAGTCTAGGAATCTGTCTGACTTAGATTTAGTACTTGGTAACGAATCCGCTTTAGCTCATTTTAAGACAGGTGCAACTCTTGCTCAGAGTGTAAAACTCACTCTTAATCCATATGCGTCTTTTCAAGATACACTAAGAACGGTATCGGACGATTTGTCCGCCTTAATTGACGGGGTCGAAGACTTGGAAGAGGATTTAACTCCTGACTTGGCTGGTGCTAGGTTGATTCGCGACAAGGGAACCGAGCTATATTCAAAGGTTGTCGAAAAAATTAGTTGATTATGGCAGGAGAGGTAAAATGGCGATCTGTCCCACCTAATAAGGAAGGTAAGGAGGAAAGTGATATAAATCTGTGGGTGGATTATATTGAAATGGCATGCATTTTAAGCTATGACGGAGAAATGTCGCAAGCCGATATGGTTGATGAGGTTAGGCAAGTTTCGGCTGACTTTATCAACGAGGGCAGGTCTGAAGACGAAGATGATCTCGATGCTTCTGAGATCGATTTGGATTGGACTCTTTCGGGCAGAGACTGGGTAGAATACATCAAGAAAAGGGAAAAAATTTTTGGGTCGTATTACCCGTTTGAGTTCAGAGATGATCAATTGCTCTTAAAGCGCAAAACGATAAAGCGCAAAATCTATCTTTCAATGGTTCTCGCTTCAAACCTACACAGTTCAAGCAAGGAGCAAATGCAACGCTTGACTACCAGCTTTGAGTATATCAGTTATCACGCATTGAAGCGATCTTTACCTAAAAAATCCAAAGTATTTTTGTTTGGTAAGAATATGCTCAACAAAGGATCAAAATATTCAGGTAAGCTTATCAAGAAGATTGAAACTCTAGGTAAAGAATTAGATGCCCTGCCAGTTGTTTGTAATGAAGAGGATTTTGCCAATCAAGATTCAGGAGACGGGGGGTTAGACGTGTTCGGTTACGTCCCATTAGACTCTCGAATTACGAATAATGTCCCAATTTTCTTTGGTCAATGCGCCTGTGGAAAGGATTGGAAAAAAAAGATATATGAGTGCCACGCTACAAGTTGGAGAGAGAACTTGACCTTCAGCAATACCTCTG